AAAGTAAGTAAGTAAAGTAAGTAAGTAAGTAAGTAAGTAAGTAAAGTAAAGTAAGTAAGTAAAGTAAGTAAGTAAGTAACTATGTAACTAAGTAACTAAGTAAATAAGTAAGTAAGTGAAATTTCATTTATAAAGCGCCTTTCATAGAAATGGAATTCACAAGGTGCTGTACAATAATCAATAATATAGAACAAGTCTATACTCAGAAGGTACTGTACAATAATCGATCACAGAAATATTAGTCAACTAGAGAAATTGCATTTCCTATGAAAAAGCTATTGTGAATGCCTGTTGCTGAAAACATAAGCTGAAAGCTGCTGAAGAAGCTAAAATTGAGCTGAACATGTTTAACAAAAGTATTATTGTAAGTTAAATTTGAAAAGCTGAAAGAAGCAAAAAATAAAAATAAAAACTAAAAAAAATGCAGAAAAACAGTAAAAAGGAGCAAAAATTTAGCCATAATAGCATAAAAAGCTAAAGGCTAAAATAGCTGAATATAGCAGAAAGCAACTGTAAGAAGCATAAATAACTCAAATTAGCAGATAAAAGCACAAAAAAGTAAAAAAGCAGAAGAATAGTAGAAGAAAGAAGAATTTTAGCTGAAATATCTGAAAAAAGCTAAAACTAGCATGACAGTAGCTAAAATTGTCACAAGGCATTTAATAGGAGCAAAACCAGAATATAATGTGTAAGGTTCTGTAAAGATTTAGAAACATTAAATTTAAATAAATTTAAGGATGTTGAATTAAGCTCCGTTCATTTCCAATGGGAAAAAGGTAGCCAAAATAGCTTTGGCTACAATTGTTGAATTTTCTTGAGGCTTCAATATGTTATAGAGCTTGCTCCCAACTACCAGTACATAAGTTTTCATGTCAATATCTCAAATAAAAGACCTTTAAAACTAGCTTTGGTGGCCATCTTGGATTTTTATTTCAGCTGCTATTTATGATAGAGCTAAGTCTTAGCTACCSGTATACCAATTTTTTGCTCARTATATCAAAAATTGGCCAAATTAAAGTAATTTGAACTAACTTTAGCTAATAACAGCTGAACATTAGCTAAAATTTTTACATTATTACTTTTAGGTGATCTATTCCCCGTGATATTTTTCATTTACCCTCATTCAGCATCTCTTTCAGTCTGCCTTCCACTCTCATCTGTTTCCAGTTAGTGATCAAGTCAAAGGCTCCATAYATTCAGTCTCAGTTTCAGCAGCAGTTCATTATTTAGACTTCCTGCCTGAGGTCTTGGTCTCCCTTGTGGTCCTCCATGTCATTCTTGAGTGCTTGTTTTTTTTCCCTGCCATTTCAGATCTTTTGGATTTTTCCTTCTGTCTGCACTCTGGGTCTGACCATTAGACCATCATTGTCAAAATAAAGTAAACTCACATCGGCTTTGAGACGGTTGCAAGTTTTTGAAAGCATTGAAAATTTTGAATATGTTCGAAATTTAAGTGACAAGACTGAGTCTCTGAGACTCGCACATGCAAACTGAAAAACCCTGTGATCGTTTTGAGACTGAAGACTTCCTTATAAATGTTGTTCACTATCAATTTGAGCAGAGGGATGGCGTAAATCACTAACCTTTTTAACTGAAACTTGCACTCAGCTGGAGGTTTCCAGTGAGAATAACGTGGGGTGGGAGACATTTCAAATTTATTTGGTTTTGACTGCATTCAGATGAGCTGTTAGCCCATAGCTGTTAGCTCACAGCTGTTAGCCCATAGCTGTTAGCCCATAGCTGTTAGCTCATAGCTGTTAGCCCATAGCTGTTAGCCCATAGCTGTTAGCTCATAGCTGTTAGCCCATAGCTGTTAGCCCATAGCTGTTAGCTCATAGCTGTTAGCCTATAGGTGTTAGCCCATAGCTGTTAGCTCATAGCTGTTAGCCCATAGCTGTTAGCTCATAGCTGTTAGCCCATAGCTGTTAGCTCATAGCTGTTAGCTCATGGCTGTTAGCCCATAGCAGTTAGCTCATAGCTGTTAGCCCATAGCTGTAATTCTGTACTGTAAATGAACCTTAACACCACTTCAAGGCCACTCAAAGATCTATTGATGTTAGGTAAGATATTAATTTGTCGTTAGTTTTCCGCATAACCCTACTTCAAAATAGCTGAACGATGTTTGGACATCATTAGACTCTGAACACACCAAGCTAACGATGGAGGAATTTACTCTCTGGCTACTCTTTGAATATATTCACAGGAAATGTTTGTGGTCTTTGAGTCAAACCTTTAAGTGTTTTCAGATCTGTTTCTCAGAGCTATCCAGAAAAACAATAGAATGCCTAATTTTGCTCATTAAATGATCCTTTCATTGGGTTTTATGCCTCGTTTTTTTTTTCTTTTTCTTTTTTTTTTTTTGGCAACATGGCCCCTAAGGCCCTCAGAGATGAATACTTTAGGTGAATAAAGTTGTGGTGAGGCAGCTTTTAGTTCTTGTTTTTCCCTTAAAAAATGTTGTAGACTTGAGAATTTAAAATTCCTTAGAAGAACATTTTGTCCTGTTTCACATTGACTTTCATTAAAGTATATTTTATGCGCATTTTATTTCATTATATATTTTTAATTTATTATTTTTTGTTTTATTCTTTTAAATTCTGTGGTCATCTTTTTGATTTAATTTCATCTAAAGTCTTCTATAAGTCATCTGAAGTTGCCTAACTCTTGTCTATTTTATCAGCTGATGTTTTATTTCTACTTTCCTTTACTCCTCAGAAACTCCATTAATGCATCTCGTTTCCCCAAACGGATCTCCCAGGCCAAATGCCAGACCTCTGGCTGCGTGAACCTTCGGGGGAGGGAGGAGGATTTAACTCTGGAAGCCAAACCCATCAAATACCAGGTYCTGGTTCTGCACAGGTGAGCTGCCGCAGTGTCTGCTGCGCCTCCAGCTTTCATGTTGAAGCAGGAAAAATGTGCATTAAAAAAAACCTTAGGAACAATTTAGAATTGGTAATTCATTTTTTTTTTAATTTGATACATTTTCCGGTTGAAGCAGACTGCGGGATGTGACCTACGAAGACAAAACTGTTAGTTTAAAATGTAGGACACGAAAACAGCGAAAGTCAACCTGATTTAAATTCCGTCTGCAGGAAACAGATAAAAACTATAGGATGAATGTGTACCTGTTAAAGGTTTTCGATTCCTCTGTTTTTATTTTATTAAATTTTTTGCAGCACCTCTGGCGTTGAAAATCTTCTGCATACCTTAACAAAAACTTGTATTTCCTCTGTAGATTCATGCTTTAGTGTTTTTCTGTTTGTGCAATAACAAATTGAATATAGCGTTGACAGCAGTTGTAGAACCGCAGCGTTTCTGTGGCTGTTATTTCTGAAAACAGTTCCTCATAACKCGAGCCTTTTGGCATCTTTACACAGAAGAACAAATCATAAGTCTTCCTTGTTGTGCSGCGTGCCAAGAAACATGTCGGATCACCGTGTGAACTGTGTGCTGGCTACGTGACAAAATCAAATGTTTTTTTTTTCCCTCTCAGTTCAATTTGTTTATAATTCAAGTTACAACCAAACTCATTTCAGGGCTCTGTACAAGATTCACATACAATAAAAAAATACCTGTTATTAAAAGTTATTTATTTAATGAAGCCAGCAGATTTTGTTGAAGACTGACTTTGTATTTATTCCTAATCTGAGTAACTCAATGGCGACAATGGAAAGGAACAACTCCCTTTTAATARAAAGAAACCTGCAACAGAACCGAGCTCAGGATGGACACCCATCTGGCTCAGTAGGCTGGGGTTTGAGAGGACATGAAAAAGACAGACAAGCACAGAATAACTAGTCCAGGTGTCTTATCCATGAGAGGAAAAATAAATGTCATGATAGAAATATTTTGAATATAAACTTGTAAAGAGAGTAAAGACAGCAGAGTTACAAAATTATGGACATTTGTTCTCCAGCAGGCTGGACCTTTAGCAGCACAAATAAAGGATAGCTCAGGAAACCCAAACCAACCCTAGCTATAGGTTTGACAATAGTCTTGCCAAGACTAGACAAATGCATGGATCAGTTTTTCTACATCATTTTAAAGATGCTTCTAGTTTTAGTGATATTAAGAGGTGGAAGAAAGCGGTCCTGGTGATGATCAGGTCCAGAAATCAGTATCCGTCTTGATTAAAGGCAGAAAATTGAGTCTTTGTGGATCATGTTTGGAACAGTGTAATCATACAGTAAAATATTTTGAAWTTTTCTCCTAATTGTTTTTAAAAAATAATCCCCTGTGGTTTTTACAGCTGACACATCTATTGTTGCTTCAGTTATGAAAACAGAAAAACMCAAAGTTTGTTTATATATATATTAATGAGGCGTGTCGGAGTTCYAATCTGGCTAATTATCACCCACCACAATGTCTGTTTCATCCTGTGCATTGCCCAATAAACAGGAGATTAAAAAAGGAGAGACAGTCCTCCACCAACTTGGGCCAAGGAAAGGTTGATTGGCGAACATGTGAAAGTATGCAGTCTGGCTTGTCAGACTGGACTTTCTAATGTGTGTGTCCACGTAAATAAAAATGACAGTTTTATTGGTGCACAAAATACTTAAACTACCATACATTTAGGCTTTTCAAAACTTACTGTTTGCCACATAGACCCAAAAATTATGGTATAAATACGTACAACTGGAAACACTACTTAGGAACATTCCCACATGGCTCTGTGTACCCTTAAACAGGTCAATAGTGGACTAAACCACTGTCAAGCTGATGGGGAGACATAATGTTGAAATGCATAAATGTGTAGTTGTGCCCATACAAATAGTAGATAGGCTTTCTGTTTGTTATAGTAATTACCTCCACCAAGGATGAGGTTATGTTTTCGGTCGCAAATGTCTGTCGTTCTGTCTGTCTGTCTGTCTGTCTGTGGACAACATTACTCAAAACCTTGTGGACAGATTGTCATGAC